TATAGAAAATGAAATGCCGATTGTGTCAGTAATGCAGACAATCCTTGTCAAAATATTAAACCAACAGTTATTATTTATGTGACACAATCACTGAATAAATTGCTGACACGCTCATATCGAATGAAAAAAAAAATAATAATCTGACATTTTAGATTTAGGCTCTGTTCACACCACATGTGATATATTTAAAAAAACTAGCCTTGTGGCTGCATTTGTCCTTTGTACTTGTCCACACAACTTTTGGTGAGATATATTATTTTTTAAATATGGACTAAAAAATTGAGATTTATTTGTTTATGTTTTTTTTTAAGTCCATTTCTGTTGCATTCATGTGGTCTCAAAAATTGTTTGGTACAGTAGTTCCATGATATCATGATTCACATTTGAACTTGCACACAATAACACTGTGTCCCTGAGAATGGGATTTTTTTATTTATTCTTGTATTCCCTGCATCTTTCTCTTTTAAATTATACTGATATCATTCAATTTGATCTATGCTGAAATGAAATAGGGAATTTTAAATTATATGAACAATTCTAATAATGTTCCTTCTCTGTATTTTGATACATCATTATTGATGTTTTTTTAAACCACTTAGAGGTGCTGTGTGGACATTAACCATTTTGTTTGAGTAGTGTGGATGGATTAAATACAAAGTAGAATATTAAGCTAATATTCTGTTTAGTGTGACAGCCTTAGATATTGTATTTTCCTGCGTATAAGTTGCAGTTTTTTGCATAATTTACATGCCCTGCAACATAAAGACCCAAGTGACATATGTATGGATTTTTTTTCCATATTTATAAAACAATTTTTGGCTGAGATAATGCATTCAATGTCTGAAAAAAAATTGAGCAGTACCACTTTCAGACACTTGATGGCAGCTAAGCAGTAGTAGCAGTATGGCATGCTGTTGTATCATGTAATAGGTAAATGTGGCTAAAATGACAAATTCAAAAAAGTTCAAGACAAAAACAACTGGACTTTATTTATTATACTTTACTTTATACATTATTGTTTTTGTCTTGACAATCTTTGAATTTACAATGTCCTGGATGACTGAGAATCTTCACCAGCTATTAATGACTCAATTGGTCTGGCTTAGTCTCCCCACCTTCATTCTTCTCACTGCTTGGAACCATCAAAACAGTTGCACCGCCCTGGCGAAATGCAGCTAATTTGACCATTCAAGTGCATTTATTAAGCAAATGATAGACTGAGACACACCTTTGCTATAATTTCATATAATTGTTTAAGTGCTTTTATTGTAAATTTTTGGAGAAACAAGCTGCGTTCCTCCCTCCTCCTTTTTCCTCCCTCTGCACGTTCACAGAGCACCGATGTAGCAAATCTATTTTTGAAATTCAGCTAATTTCACCATTAAAGTGCATTTTTTTAAGGAATAGTACAACTGACACACCTTTGCTATAATTTTGATATAATTTTGAGCAAAAAAATAATTGTTTTTAGGTGACAGCATTGTAAGAGGGGGACAGTTGAACATGGAGGCCTCCAGAGGACCTGACTTAACTTTTTTTTTATTTCTACCTGGATTATTGAGCATGCATCAGGATGTACTGTATATATGTCTGTTGTTCGGTTTTATGCTATTAATAAAGTAAAAAAAAAAAAAAAAAAAAAAACCTTCCTGTATGGTTAAATGTAATTCTGTTTTTTTCAAATGTCATTTCGCTTTTTTCAAATGTAGTTCCGTTTTTCTAATGTTATTCGGGCCACTTCCGCTTTGGCCACTTATGTTTTGGCCACTTCTGCTTTGGCCACTTCCACTTTGGCCACTTCCGCTTTGGTTTAATGTAATTCTGTTTTTATCTAACGTGATACCATTATTTCAAATGTAATTCTGTTTTTTATAATGTGATTCCATTTTTTTCTAATGTGATTCAAACCACTTCTGTTTTAGCCACTTCTGTTTTAGCCACTTCTGCTTTGGCCACTTCCACTTTGGCCACTTCCGCTTTGGCTTAATGTAATTCCGTTTTTTCAAATGTAATACAGTTTTTTCAAATGTTGTTCATTTACACCTTAGGGCCACCATAAACCACTGAGCATAGAGCTACTTCAGCCCACATGTGAGGAGCGGGGACGGTTAAGGGCCTTGCTCAAGGGTTCAGAGGGGGCAAATGAGGGTTGAAGCAGTTGTGCATGCTTCACCTTTCCCACCCAAATTTTGATGCAACAATACATGAGATACGCTCCTGTATCCTGGAATACCTTGCAAAATAATGTGAAGCTCTCGACCTTGACCTCTAAGGGACTTTAAACATCTGCTAAGTTCATGGCAAAAACCAATGCAGACATGTTCCTGTTTTTAGTATTTTACATTGCTTTATAATGTAGCTGGGGTTTTATTTTCTTCTGGGTTTTTTTATATAATTTTTTCGATTTACTTTTCTTTTTATATACGTTTATATGTTTGTCTACTTTTGTTTGTACCTCATCTGTGTTCTTTGTTAAAAACAGGTCTCTCTTTTAAACGAGTGCTCGTGACTCAATGCAACTAACCTGTATAAATAATGGTTGAATGCATTGAATGAATATGAACCATGACCTCCGTCACTCTTTGGCCTCTGCACCACTATCCTCCCTTTTAAACTGTAGAGTTTGCCTAACTGTAAGAAGGCTCCTGTAATGGATCTCAGCCATGCCTTTTTGCATTAAATTAGTATTTTCTTCCTGTCCATGCATGTATTTCCTCAGGTTACTTCAGTTCAAAAACATAAACAGATTATCTTGTGGTGAGCTAACATGCTCACAGATGTACTGCACCACACACTTTTTTTTACTGCATATGTAGACTATAGCAAAGATGTTTAAATCACAGCAAATAAATGTTTTCCTTAAAGCTCTGGTCAAACTGAAAGCTACAAAACTGAAGAAGCTCAGTAGGCCTTGATGACCATGTGTGGAGATATTGCATGTATTGAGCACTTACCATAACCAAAGAATCTAGATAATTTCTCATATTGTACACATTTATTGTCTCATTAAAGTATTTATGTGACATTTCCTGTATAATTTTCCAGAAACACCTTCTATCAAAATTTGTACCTTTTGAGACCTCATTATTATGGATCTTCTTGTTTTGTCAACATATTATTTCTGTCAAATTTTGTAATTTAATGATGTTGTTCACAGGCACACACCAGCTGAGCAAAGTCGGTCCAAAGTCAAATGGGAGAATAACAAGAGAAATAGAAACATCAAAACATTGTTTTAATTAATCATCGACCAATGGTTACATGTTGTGTCACAGTTTTTAATTAAGACACATCTTATTTTTCTGCTTGGAGTAACATGCCACCTGTTGTTCATGTTGTTTGTTCATGTTGTTGTGTACTTGAAGAAAGCAATGGGCTGCCTTGCTTCATCTCTAGAGTGCTTTTGTGGCTCTGCCGCAGCCGGTTCATCCCGCTGGAGTCGGTCTACTGGGTAATAAAGTCATGTGTGCAACAGATGGGGGCTTTCTATATTCAGGTGTTTGTTCATCTGTATGTGTGTGTGTGTGTGTGTGTGTGTGTGTGTGTGTGTGTGTGTGTGTACATAACCTTTTGTAACCTTTACTTTAAACTATATTATTGCATTTTTTTAGACCATGTAATGCAACAAAATCCAGTGGAAAAAAAGAATGACTGAAAATGCACATTTTTATTTGCTTTACTTTATTTTTATGTTTAAATGTGTATGTTATTTTTAGCTCAAGCATGCTTCACTGCTTTTTGTTTACATGTTGTGTATGTAATTTAATACTTTTTCTTCAATTTTATGCATCAGTCAGACAAAAGCTATGAGTAACAATTGTCTGACAATGTTCAGTCTGACATATTTGTAAATTGTACAAATAATAATCCATTATCCAACATTTTTAAGTCAGGTCATCTGGACAGTTTCTTTTTTTGTGCTG